ACAAATCATCAAAATGTTTAAAACTAAATTGGTATGATAATTGGCAGTACAGTTGGTTCTGCCCTCCCACTCGCAAAAAAAATTTATCTAATGAAAAGGATTATGATTAAATAGGCATAATTGAAAGATTTAAGATTAAATTAATCGTTGTACAATAAGTTATGACTTCTTAGATAATTTTTCCTAAAAATGATTATAGCATCTGTAAATTCGTTACTAGATTGAATGTATGGGAACGTTGTATGTATGTATTCTAGTTCATGCAAGAAATATCCTTAGTGCATGAGTAATTTTTTCCACGTCCACTTTATTTTCCATAACCTAATGGCACAAATAGGGGGACTCCGCTATCTCAAGCATGGTAGAACATCTCACAAGCCCTATGAACAAATTAAGTCCGGCCTCTGATTTTTGTAAGTTTCTCTGACTCAAAACAGTTTGCACACTTGGTGAGATTTGAATAAGTGATCTTTAATGATAGACAGATCTTGTTCCAAGTGGACTCTTAATAATCCCATGCACCAAGGACCATGATCTTGAACCACCAATATCCTTCATAAGCAACTCGAAAGGAGATGGAGCACCTGCTTTTTGTTGTGCGAGCCTTCTTCTTAATGCCATGAGTGCTATTTCCATTCCGCAGCTTAGCATCTTCCACAAGCTGCATTTTCATCAATAAAAGCGCATAATATCCCATCCGTAGCTTTGACAATTGGACATGATAATAAACACTAAAATGATACTGTTTTTCTTTCTTTCTTTTGCATTTTAGGATAAGCTACAGATGTAGAATGATACAAGCTGGTCCAATTTTATTGCCACATCCTTATGTTTTTGGGAACATGGACAAAGCAATAATAGTAAAATTTCACAACAACCTCAAAACATCAAGGAGCTAATTAGTTTAACAACCTGATTTCGAGCTAAAAGCAGTCTCTCTGCTTCAGTTTCAAGCTCAACTAGATTTTGCTGGAATTGTTTCGTCGCTTCGTCCATATCTCAATCCTTTTCAGCGATATACATATGAAATAGTCAAAGTCCAGCAGGTCAAACATCGCATGAAACTTAGAAAAGTATAATAAGAAGAAGATGCAGACCAGTAGCGAAAAGATTGTTACCGTATTAGCAAATTCAAAATATTGATAAATATAGCAAGAATAGCCTGATATCAAGACTCAAGGACAACTTAACAGGAATAGAACAGATATATTCTGCAATTACTTTTAAGTAGAGGTGTTAAGCTAGTTGTTCGAGTTGAGTTTGGGTGGTTGAATATGGGTTTGGATGAAATTAACCCATTTTTTCATGATACAATTTTAACAACCTATACCTAATCCATATGCACGTGAACTAGAGGGACAAACCCAGAGAGTTGCCCCGCGGAATTGTGACTCCAGAGAGCGAGGTGAGTTGTTTCCTCACTATTAACTTGCCCGACGAACGCCACCGAGACAACGAACAAGGAAATACGACATACAAAGCAATGACGGCAGTGAAAATCCACAAAACCATGCCTGAAGACCAACAAATCAATCAATGAAATGCAAGCACGTTTGGGCGTCCTCGGATTGGACAGAACATGCGCTATTTTCACGGGTTCGCCTTATGGTCATTTCATCAAACACACGGTGAGCATCACTTGAGGGGAGGATGTTAACTCATTCAAGACTCGAACTCACATCCGAATCCAAAAAAGAATCAGCAAGCAGCACTCAAAGTCGGGAAAAGCTCGTTCAAACCCGGAATATATATATGTGAACTGGGATTAGCCGGTAAAAGTGCCAAAAAAGTCCTAAATTTTTTGCATTGATGCCAATTTAGTCATAAACATTTTTTTTTGTGCCAATTTAGTTCTAAACTTTTTGTATTGGTGTCAATTTAATCTTAAACCTTTTTTTGGTGTCAATTCAGTCCTAATCCTTTTGGATTGGTGCCAATTCAGTCCTAAACCTTTTGCATTGGTGCCAATTCAGTCCTAAACCTTTTGTCTTTGTGCCAATTCAGTTCAGCCAATTTTGGCTGAATTTTGCTGATGTGGACGCCGGATGGCCGGTCACTGGCGCTGATGTTGACAACTTTAATAATATTTTAATATTTTTTTGAATTTTTATCATTTTTTTTCCCCTCCTCTCCCTCCGTCCTCCAGCCGGTTGCCGGCCACTAGCGAGGTCGAGCCTCATCGACGGTTGGGCGAGGCTCGCCCTCGCCAGCGACGGCGAAGGCGAGCCTCGCCATGACTGGACGAGCCCGACCTCATTAGATCCAACGAGGTCGTGCCAGCCGCCGGCGAGGCTCAATCTCGCCAGATCCGGTAAGGTCGGGCCTCGCCCAGCCATGGCGAGGTCGCCATCGCTGGCGAGGGCGAGCCTCGCCGGCGGCTGGGCGAGGCACGACCTCGCCTAGTGCGAGGCCGCCCTTGCCAGTGGCCGACAACATTTTTCCCGGATTAGTTTATTACACTAAAGCTGCGTTTGATAGTTGAGATATAATTTAGGATAGGATAAATTTATCCTATCCCGTGTTCGTCTTTACTCAAGATAGGATAAAGTCGGATATAGGAAGGATATAGGGATAAAATTATCCCATGGAGGAGGTGAGATAAGTGGATAGGATTTAATATCCATAATATAAAATTTATTTTTCTTAAATAACAAACTTATTAAATTAATAAAATTAAAATAATATTTGAATATTAATATAAAAAAATTCAAAATAACAAAAAAAACAATAAAATCGTTTTTATTTATTCTTAGTTTTATTTATATATTCAAATTTCTTTCTATCTTATGATATAAATTTCATATATATATACACATTTAGTATTTATATTTATTACATATTTTAGGCATATTTGTATAGTTTACTATTTAATAAAATTTTATTAGAGAATGATGGAAGGGGAAGAAATAAAAAAGAAAATAATTAAAAAGAGAGGGAAAAATAATATAAATAAATAAATAAAAAATAAAATAGGTAAGAGTGTCGTGAGAAATTTTTATCATCTCCCGTTGTGCAATTTTTATGTTCATTTACACTGATATAACGTTCATAGCGAATAATGGATATGGTAATAAGTGAAAATATCCGGCTTTATTACCGCGATTCACCAAACAGTAGATAGGATATAGCAAATCCCCTGGATTTCATGTCCTATCCTATACAATCCTATCCTGATTAAAAATCCGAACGACCAAACGCAGCCTAACGGATTAGCTCATTACATTAAGCTACGTGTTATCGTCACAAGAAATACTTCCACCTTAACTAGAAACTTTAACAGGCCAGAAGAGCACCTCAGGCAATAGTTCTATTCCATAGCTCCTGGTGTAAAGATATCCACACTAATAGAATTTGAAATTTTCTAAAATACTCTAATGATTCATACGAGTCTCACGTGATTGCTAGGATATCCTTACAGATTTCAGAATTTATCAAACGGTCGTGCTATGGGTAATGAAATTGAATGTGGACTTTTAAATCCAGGGGGTTCCATGTGAGACCTACATGGGACCCACCAAGTTCAATGATCTCGATTTAGTTTACTACAAGTAGCATACTCATTAAATACTTGCTCGAAATATATCTCCAGCGCTAGTCATTTAGGCTCAACGTGCAGTAAAGTTCAATTCATAATGCACTATGGCTACCTTTAGTCGTCTAAATTTCTAGTCAAGACAAGACTGAATAAGATATGATATGAAATTTATGAATTTTGCTATATCTTATCCATTGTTAGGTGTTTTGCAATAATAAAGCTAATATTTTCATATCCAATCATATTTAGTGTTCGGTATGAACGGTATATAAATGTAAATAAATCTGAAAATGCACCAACAAATTTAAAAACATATTATGATTTATTACTAAAGAAACTATATATGCACAAACAGATATAACCTCCATCAATAAATCCATAATTATTATACGGTCTCAATCTTAAACATCAAAATGAGTTCACTGTAGCATTTCAAAGCCACGTGTTCGACTCTGGCAAAAAATGTAAATGAGCTACAGCAACATCGACTAGATAGATCGGTCGGCAAATGCTGAATCTCGTAAGAGAAATAAAATATGATCATTCACCTTCACGATTTCGAAAAGTATAGTGCTTCGACTCTCCCCTACTTCATTTTTATTATTTTCCCTCTCTCTTTTTCTATTTCTTGTTTATTCCCTTCCATCATTTCTTAATAAATTTTATTTAAAAAAACCTAAAATATCCTAAAATATATAATAAATATAAATTCTATATATATTAAAATAAAAAGAAATTCGCATATATAAATAAAAATAGGAATAAATAGAAAAAATTGTTGTTATTTTGAGTTTTATTTTTTATATTAGAATTCAAATATTATTTATATTTAATTATTATTTTAATCTTATAAAAAAGTTTATTATTCGAGAAAAATAGTTGTTATACCGTATATATAAGAAATCCTATTCATCGCACTTCTCCCATGTGATATTTTTATCCAAGTTATATCCTTTTTATATCCGACTTTATCATGTCTCGGACATGAATCAATCATAAGATATGCTATATTTTATCCTGACTACCAAACATAACATATATCTACTTCATTGGGTACCCATGAACAAAATTTATTGATTGACCAAGTTGAGTCAAGCTCGAGCTTATTGAAAACTTAATCGAAGTCAAGCTTGAGCGAAGTGAATTTCTTGAATATTTAAGTCGCGTCGAGCTTGATCGAGTAACGAGCCATGTCAACTCGATTATACTCCTAGCCGATATAAATTTCGGGTATTTTGAGTCGAGGCTGCTCTATTTGCCAATTTAATATTAGGTCAGTCGTACCAAATCCTTCCCGCCACCGTCCTCAAGCTATTCTTAGCACGAAGGAATAGCTATTTCCGCGAGGGCAAAAGGGATTAGCTATCTAGTTCCTAATGTGGGGGGAGAAATAATTGTTTTTCCGAACTTGTAAATTCCAGACAAGCGTTGTCCCTTTTCTTCTGGTACGAAGCCGACGGACATTGTAACGAACCAGATCGATCGCCACCTCGACGCTGTCTCAATTTGCATCCTCCACATTATCCTCCTCCTCCTCCGCCTCGGCCTCCTCGTCTCTCTCTCTTTCGACGAGTCGCGCGAATTGAAGAGGGAACGCTGACCATGTATTGAACCCAGGATTCATACGAATCCACGCGCGTCCTCTCTGCCCCGGTCGCGACCGTCCTCTAATGCTATAGAGCCTCTCGTATGATCCTGAAACACATCGATTGTCTAGCCAAGAGGATGGAACAGTAAACTACCGTGATGGAGAGCAACAGAGACGGAGACTACGTGAGATTAGAGGACGGGGAGGATGTCGACAGCAGCGCAAGGAGCGTGGCGCTGCCGGAAGTCCCTACAAGCAGCGAAACATGGCGGTGTTGGGGGGTCAAGGAGATTGGGCTGTGCATCTTGGCAGGTGTCGCGGCGGTGATTATCATCAATTGGCTCGGCCCACCATTCATGAACAAGGTAGTCTCGCATTGATCGGATAACAATATTCCACGACCATGAACTGATCTCTCCTCCAGCCGAAAAATGCAGCCGCTAATACCCGGGTCTAAATTTTTCGATTGATGTAAACGCTGAGTATATACAGGCAGGCATGAGCATTTCTGAAACAAGAGCGAAACTATTGAAAGAATCGCGAATCTGTCATGGCGCCAGCACGGCTCTTCTCGAAAATTTTCTTGGAAAAGCATATCATTCATCTTGTCAGCTAAAACATGAGTTGTTTTTACTGGGACAAACGGAGGGTGCGATTCATATTGTCACCACCATGTTAGATATGCAGTCACCAACATGGATTGTTTGTATTTGTTGAATATCTGTGCCCCCTTTTTTTTTTATGGATTGAGGTACTTGGTGAATTCTTTTGGCATTGTTGATAGACCTTGATGCCGAGTCTTGGTCGTAAATTGATCAAATACACGTCGGAGTTGCTCGGTTGATGATGAAACTCGTATTCAGATTTATCGTTCTTGCGCAGATTTCGAAATGAAATAGCCTATGAGACGGAAAAAGACGATACTATTCGGAATATCGAAAATATTAAAAGCATTACGCATCTTGTCCGGTCTGATTGAATGATGGAGAAAGATCACTCGGACATGAACCCTAAGTACTGTCATGATAGTTCTGGGATTTCGATTAATGGTGCATATGATATATCCAGTTTCTGGTGATTTCAATCACTAGTTCTCTCAGCCTTTGTAGTTATAAATCATTCAAAACTCGAGCAAAACACTTGGTTCATTTGATTATCTCGAGTTTTTTCCGGCTTTGATCTGCATGATTTCTCTGATATTCCAGCTATTTTCTAGGTGGTTATCCCAGCTATCGATTGGGTGACACAAACCTTCGACCCTCCGACTCTGGCATTCCTGATTTTCGCCTCGACCGCTCTATTCCCTGCCTTGATGGTGCCGTCTACGCCTTCCATATGGATCGCCGGGATGTCCTTCGGTTACGTGACTGGGTTCGCTCTAGTAATGGCCGGAGTCACAATCGGTGTAACCCTGCCTTATTTCATCGGTTTGCCCTTCCGGCATAAGATTCAGGTACATGTATCATATGAATTCTTCAAATTGGTCTCCGAGAAGATAACCGTTTCTCACGGGTCACCCGTCTTTGCAGAGATGGTTGGGGAGATACCCGAAGCAAGCATCCATGGTAAGACTCGCCGGCGAAGGGAGCTGGTTTCATCAGTTCCAAGCGGTCGTGTTGATCAGAATTTCTCCATTCCCGTATATGCTGTTCAATTACACTATCGTCGCTGCAGATGTTAAATACAGTCCGTATCTGCTGGGCTCGTTGGTCGGAATGGTGCCTGAAGTCCTTCTTACTCTCTACGGGTCAGTGCCCTTCTCCATTTTTTATTCTCAGACATTCTCATCATTCTCGTTGGCTCCCTGTAAAACTCCATGTAGGGCAATGCCTGCTGCTGCATATACTGACACGTGAACGTGCTTAAATTGGCACCCCAGAAAGTTTTATGATTCCCTAATATAACTTTTTATCTCCATGTCGTCTGTTTGATCGGGATTGAAACTCGTGTTGTTCAGTGGGAAGTTGATTCGCCAATTGGCAGATGCGGCGGATCATCACAAGGGCCTTTCGAAGCCGCATATAGCTCTTAATCTGGTCGGGTTCGGCGTGGGCGTGATCGCAACCGTGACGAGCGGCATATATGCCAAATGGCGGCTCGAGGAGCGGCGGAGGAAAGAGGAGCGGACGCTGGGTTGACTCGGGAAATGCGTGAACGGACATGGACATGGGGCGCTCCTCCGAAGAGTTTCGGCTCGGAATTTCGAAAGGAAGTAAAAGATGCAGATTTCGAAAGAAAGAACACTGAACTTGCGCCTCACTGTTTGTACCACTAATGGTTTCTGTCATTAGGCTGTGAAATCGTCGAAGTTCTCTAATCTAAGCATTTCGATTCATTAGTTTTCAGCTACCTTTCCGAGCTAATAGATTTCGAAAAGAGTTCGTAAGTAAGGAAAGGTACCGGTCATCTGATTTCGCGGTAATTTGTTGTTAAGTTACCAATACTTTTATAAAATTACTTACTTCTTTTGGAAGTTTACAAATTAATTTTAATTTATCTTTCTAACTATACCTTAAGTAGACCATCTCTTAGATAAAATTGTCAATCTCTATTTAAGTGACTTATATATCTAAATTTTTCGCGATTAATTTACCAACTAATCTTGGATTAGCAACTCTCGGCCGAGTGACTTACCAACGTTTATTTGATTTTTTGAAATTAATCACCTTTAACATTTACCGACATTAATTTATCACTCATATAAATGCCTTCAATTGTATATCATGAATTGATCAATCAGCCTTTCTCACATTAAGTTACCGACTAGTCACGTATGAGTTGCTTAACTTTACAAACTTAATTATTGAGTTACCAGCTTATTAAATTTGCCAACTCTTTTTTAAAAATTACCAACCTTAATTAGAGCGAAGACCAACTTTTATCTAATTAAGTTACCAACAAATTATGCATTGCCAACTCTAACTGAGTTAGTTATCGGCATTTATTTTGTTTCTCAAAATTACCTCATTTACAAACTTTTATTTAGGTTTCTTACTAATACCTTAAATTTGTTGATTATTATATGAAATTACAACCTTCATACGAGTGACTTATCACTTTATCTTCAATAAAGTTACCAACTATTTGACTTACCAAATCCCATTTGTTTTTCTTATTACCAATCTTCAATTTTTTCTTAATTGACCAACTTTTCTAAGTTACAACATTTTTTTTGGCCTTTCTCGTCAACTTTTTTAATTTACCAACACGTTGCGGAAACCACCAACTTCAATGAGAGTTGCATTACCAACTCCTATTTGAGTTAGTTACGAATGTTTATTCGATTATTTCTTTAAAAATACCAAATTCTCTTATACCTGATAAAATAACAGCCTCTCTCATAGTTTAGCAACTGTTTTATGATAATCAAACAGGGGAAGCTTAGAAAACGTTTTGGCTCAAAGGAAAGAAGGCAAGAGTCATAGAAAGGAAAGACCAAAGAAATAACAAGCAACAATCTCAACAAAGACCTGAAATTTCTGCATAGGACTAACAGGAGGCTTGCGCTCAGACAAGAATTTTAGTAATACGAAAGAACTTGGAGAAATGCTCCTTCTCATATGCAGCTTTTGGAGGTATATCTTATCGTTCATCAATATGGAGTTAAGGTTATCGATGATGAGACTGATAGATTATGCTAGTTGATGTAATCACAAGATCCTGAGAGGGCAAATCCAAGAAATCAAGGGTGATTGATTGAATATGGAATGAATTCAGCAGATAGAATGGGCATCCTAGAGACAAGGATGGAAGTAGATCTACGGGAAGTTGAAATCAGGAACATACAGTGAAAGTGATGGATAACAAACGTAAACATCACTGAATGTGTTTCAATTGTTATACCAGTGATACAATAGAAAATGGAGGAAAACTTTATATATAATTTAAGGTAGCATTTATCCATCCTCGAGAATTTCTCTATGCAGATGCATACATGTAGTGCTGCAGTATTTGTAATTATACCTATGAAATGGTATTTTACCATCCAATGAGACATAACAACAGGAGCAGTTAGTATCTTCACTTAGCGCGCTTTTTGGCTGTGAAGTGCTTGGCGCCGAGTTTCCACTATTGCCTTGAGCACTAAGGGCTGCAGCTGCGGCCATCCTTCTCTCGGCAGCGGCTGCTCTCTTTTCCCTCTCAGCAGCCTGTGCTGCCATCAATTGCTCCTGAGTAGAGATTGAGAGGAAAAGAACACATCGCTACATCAGTACCAATTTCACAAACGATCTCAGTGGATGATTTTCTGGATGAGATCAGTGAACCAAACTTTGCATGAATGGACAGCGTTAGAAGCAGCAGAAGAAGGGCAGAAAGGATAGATCAATCGCAACTCCTACAAACAAACAAAAATAGAACTTAGTGAAGGCATGGCTCCTTGAGACTGTTTTCTTACCTCTTTGGATATTTGAGATATTCCACTAGGTTGAGACAGTCCTTTCCTAGCAGATGTATCTCCAGAAGCTTTCACTTCATTTTGAGAGGCTGCAGCCTGAACCTGGATTCACCCGTTTGGGAAAAGGATGAAATAAGAAAGTGAGATGATAGCATGCGGCATACCAAATGTCAGTTGCTAATACTAAATAATACTGGCCTAGGGCCCAGGCTTACATCAGAAGCACGGCTAATTCTTGGCCGGCAAGGCAGAACACCACTAGTTTCTAATAAATGAGATAAGTAAATCAATCCATAAATGACATGGGAAAACCACAAAATTCATCCCTCGTAACCAAGCTCTTAAGTAGGAACCTAGACGAAATCGAACGAGCTCAATTTTCCCTTCACTGTTATATAAAAAGGAAACCAACCATCATTCTCTCGCAAAAAGGCCAAACAAACATGCGCGAGCGAACAATCACCAAAAGTGCTAATGATCTTTCAGAAGATATCGTCATTCAGTCCAAAAGCCTCTATAATCGCATATAATCTGCATCTAGGGGAAATGTGTAGAAGAAAACTACAACTTAGGGAAAAGATAAACAATTTTAAGAAATTACTGTAAGTTTCAGAAAACAACTATATACGCACCTGAGCTTTCTTTTCTTTGGCCTTACGTAGTTTCTTTAACTCTTTTGCTCTGGCTTTCTTCTTGGCATCTTTCTCTGCCTGAAAACCTCCAGCAACGTTAGTAATAAGCTTGACTGTGTAAAAGAATGACTTGACTGCTATAACAAAGGTTGACAGAATGACGAACTAACACAGACCAATAGAAGGTATCACTTACCGAGAATAGGACTGACACTAAAAGACATAAAACAAATGCTCACATAGAAGACTCATACCAAATGTAGCAATCATAGATTTTTAAAGTTTAAAGTACATCTGATGTGACCATTGCTACTAATGCCTTCATTGCACCAAAGAAAAATATCCATGTTTAAGCAAAATTGTAGAATGAATGAATTGATTCTCTTATCATACAAGACAACATGATGTATCGAACCAGAACCAACTATACAAAGTTTGACAAGATAGTCAGCCAGACAGACATTAAATCCTAAGGTATGAATGCTTCAAATATAAAACTCTTGTAGAACTTAACCCAAATCAATTGCTGATAGGAAAAGAGAAGAATTGATGACCACTAGGAGCACAAACACTTAGTAATTAGCATGGAGCATGAAATCTACCTGCTTAGCAGCTTGAGATTCCTCCATTTCTCTAGTTAATGCACTGGGTACTTTAGCAGCATGCCAGTCCCACTTATCAAGGTTTGAGGCCATAAAACGTCTGTAAACATTTCTCACTTCCTTTTCACTTGCCAACATATATGGTGTCCGTCCCCTTTGATCTTTTGCGCAAGGGTCCATCCCCTCTTCCAGGAGTTCCAGAACCTTCTGAACATTTCCCAGTTTCGTCGCTTCATGCAATGGTGTCAATCTACCAATCACTTCATTATGGTCACTGTCACTTGATATTAATGTATCAGGCTTTATGGGACCTGAACAAGTTTCAATCATCTCCATATGTGCCAATTTTTGACCCAATTCATCCTTGATAGCAACCAGTTCATCATGGACCACAGCAATGTTGCTTGAAGATGACTTATCTCCTTCCATCAATGTTATTTCTTTCTCACCATTTTCATACGCAACTTGGGTCAATTGATTGTATATACGTTTGGCTTCTTTCAAAGTAGGTCTCCGAACATTAAAGGAAATGTTACGTACAACAGATTGAGAATGGCCAAAATATGGCTTCTCTCCACTGAAAAGAAGCTGGCGGTTATTTGAAGGTGCATAAATGAAAACACTGGTACAAGCATCAAAATAAGGCTTCCAAGAAAGAAGTAACTCCTGAATATCCTGGAACACAGAAATATTCAATCTGTTAAGGATACAGACATGGCTATGTTAAATACGTTACCAGATCTTCTACTTGATAATCATGCATAGAAAGGGAAAAGATAGTCATTCAGACACTTTACTCTTATAAGCTCAGGAAACATCTATGAAGAAATAAGTAAAAAAGACTTGATCACCCAAGAATGACTAAGATTTATGGAATAGTATGAATCTATGAAACAATAGCAGTCAAACTGGAAAAGACGAGTACAGCAAAACTCCTTGAGGAAATACAATCAATTTGTTCCCCATGTTTATTTACTTTTTTTTTTTTTTTGCTTAAATGGGCTTTTACTTCCCCATCAGCAAATAGTTTCTTGTAGAAGCATGATAATGCAATTAAAGGAAATTGATAAGTACTTTATCAAAGAGTCTGACAAGATACCTTTTTTAAGGCGAGTTCATTATACCGCCGAAGTGAGGCTCCAGCAGAATGTGCAGCTCTGCCACTTGCATCCTTAAGCGACTGTTTCTTGCCTGCCTTAGCCCTCACGACATATCTATATGCAAAGAAAATGAATTCAGAGAACATTTCTTCCACAAGTATATTGTTAGAAGGAGGGATAATAACATTGTTATTCAGTGTACAGATCATTAATTAGTACAAGTGAAAATGAAAGTCAACTGAATGATCCGAAACTTTGAATGTTCACAGTGAAATCCGATTCAGTTTATTTTCTGATTATTAAAACTTTCAGACAGTAGAGACCCGACCTGTGGAATGTCTTGTGAGCCACAACACCATTACCATCAAAAACACATCCAGCAAAGTGCCCCCCACTGGCAAGCAAGACAATCCTCAGACGAGTATTATCCCTTGGTTCACGAATCAGATCGTTAAGCTTCTGAATGATTACATTCGCATTTAATGTGGTTAAGGAACCGCTGTCATAAACGGCGACTGCTTTACCATTATCAAAGAGTATAACTTCAGACTCACTCTGAAGTAAGGACTTCCAGATGGAAACTATTTCGCCAGTCTGAAGCTGAACAAATATCTTCTGCTTAGTAATTTCATCCGATCCCTTATGAAATTCACTGTGGAGCCTGGGTCCCTGGTCAAGTTCATCTTCTGAACCTGATATGCTTGATATCTCATAGTCTATAAAAGAATCAGATGTCAGCTTATCAAAATCCTCCTCCTCCATGATATCTTTCCCAGCAACGCTCAGCTTTACCTACATACATTGTACACGCTAATTTGTCACAGTTTATCAATGAAATCTTCAAGTTCAAGCAAATATTCACGACAACTCGAAGAAAGGGAAAAATGGGTCCTTTCGCACGACCCAGCATCCTGGATAGTGGTTATACCCATATTGCATGTTCGGACATACTTCACATAATTCTCACAATTACCAACAGACTGAGAGAATCTAAGACACCCTTTGCTAACAAATAGGAGTTCTTTCGATGGCTTCCATATCAAATCAGATTACTTTTTACCCCGGGGAAGAGCCTCGTCTAAGCTCACTACGCCTAAGAACAGCCAGCCAAATTCATCGGTCATCATCATCAAAACATCCGAATAAACACTTTCGTCATTCGAAGTCACCGACCAAACACAGCCGCATCTACCTAATCCTCGGAGAATCGACAATAACGAGAGGACAGGGAGACTGCAAAAGGGTCAAAGGAGCTCACATTGAGGCGATGGAAATCGGACTTGAAGTGCGAGCGCTGGTCGAGGAGCGACTCGAACTCGGCCTTGCAAGTGTTGCAGGTCCATCTGGCCAGGGCGACGCCGTCCGCGCAGCCCTTGCCGCCTTCGCGGCTATCCTCTGGGGTTTTGAGGTCGGGGGCGAGGGAGGCCTCGGTCTCGGAAGGCAGAACGACTGCTGCGGCTGCGGCGGCGGCGGTCGTCGATGAGGAGGAGGAGTTTGGGGATTGGAGGAGGACGCAGGAGTCGAAGAAGTCGGGCGGCAATTCGAAGACGGACCGGTGGCGCCTTTCCGCCGACGGCGCGGCGCTTGCGGCGGCGGCGGCGGCGGTGCCGTGGGTATACTCCTCCATTGGCGTTTATTTGGGAGGTTAATAGGGAATGGCTTTTGACTCAGAGTTATCGTTGTGCGATGTATATGCGTGGCATAATATACGCGTCATTAATTTTTTTTTTTTAAAAAAGTCATAAAAGATTCATTTTATGTTTGTCAAATCTTAGAACTTTATAGTAATTTTCTTTAAATTTTTCGACAATCTTGTTCTTATGCATCACCCGACTCGATAAGCATTATATACTCAGTTCGAAGATATTATGTTCGAAAAGTATAATGACTAGACTGCGGCATTACTTTAATAAATTAAGGTTGAGATTTCATGTCAGAACTCATTCAACGAGATAAAAATCTCAATGGACACTAAATGTTTAAATATACATGTTGGACAAATATACATGTTTATAGCATGATCCAAGATTTATACTCAAATACACATGTTGGACAAAACAAAATGTTTAAATCTTTGAACACTCAAAAGAATATCTAACTATCATATCTTTTCCTTTCTTCAATGTTTACAGCAGTATCTGACTATGGAGACCAACAAATCAATCAGAATATTTTGGGACCATTTGGTTTGAGGAAATTTCTCAAATTTTCATCAGTTGTGCAGTACTTACAGAAAGTGAAACTCGAATTTGATACCCCCAATGCCTTGACCAATAAGGCCGCATACCTCCAATTTTCCTTGTCATTTGCAAGATTTTCACGGAAATTTCGTCTGGTGAGAAAAATGGAGGGTTTCCAAAATTTGTTTTCAGCGAAAACACAGGAGAATAGTTTTCTCATTTTTGCTGGCTGTTGGATATATGACTTGGAGATGTTGCCTCTGTTTTCAGTCCGATTGAAAACAGGGGATATGCTCATATGAGCAAAATCAATCCATGGTACTTTGTCAACACCGCTCTCTCTTGGTCTTCCATCTCCGCTTTCTCTCTCTAGCTTCGACAGCTTTTTTTCGTGGCTAACGGTTGGACACGACAATTCGCCGGTCAGCGCGAGTTGTAAGGCCCAAATGTCGACAGTGCTAGTAGTGCCCAATTGAAGTCGAGGGCCATGTCGACAATGGTTTTCTTTGCCAATCGCAACACAAGAATTTCCTCTTGAAGTCACCTTTCCGCAACAGCAAGCACGTCGATGCACCCTCAACAACTTTGCATCTGAGAATGCATCATCTCGGTTCGGAGGAAATCGATGGCCTGGATATCGAAGCCGTTGTAAGCAGAAAAAGGACATCGGCAAATGCTTCATCCTCCCGATGAAAGAACATTAATTTACAACATTCACAGAGGGTTAAATTCCTATTTTGGCATCCAATGATCCATCCAAAACCTCCGCAGCCAAAGCAAACCTATGCTAATTGCAAATACCCTCAGGATTTGCATTCTTGGTGATCCAAGGGTGCTCCACGATCTTCTGAAGAGAGAGCCTCTTTGAAGAGTCCTTAACCAGGAGCTGCAAAAGAAAGGGAAAACAATTCAGTAAGCTCTTGACTATCCCCGCTACCACCACTCCTGGCAATGTATCAAGAGAAAACCGAACGCTGATATGCTTATTACCTGGCAAATAAGATTCTTAGCCTCTGAAGATACATGAGGAACGGGAGGGAAATTCAAATCCACCTCCATTATCCTGCATTCAAGCACGAGTTACGTGTTTTCGGTTCTCGTTAATGCTGGGGTCGGGGAGCAAATTAAAAGCAATCGTCATATTTCTACCTTTTGAATGTGTCCCTTTGGCTCTCAGCCTCAAATGGAGGGACGCCATAGAGGAACTCGTAACAAAGTATGCCCAGAGTCCAGTTATCTACAGCATGATCATGAGCTTTATTTTCTACCATTTCTGGTGCCAAATAATCTAAAGTTCCACACATGGTGTGTCTCTTGCCCTTCGACTGTACAGACCATCCAAAGTCTGCAATTTTCAGCCTACCCTGCACAAATAACTTGTGTTACCGTACAGCCATGAAATACTTTTCCCAGTCTTCGTCTTTACCAATGAGTTAGAAGATTTATCCCAGCTGACCTATAATGAATTTGATCTAACCAATCATAAAATGGCTATAAATACACAAGTCCACTTTTATTGAAGCTCAATATCGACAGATTCTAAGAGATAAACGAAAATTCCAAGCTCCTGTTACTGTGAGCTACAACATGAGAGGGTAAATTCCTAAATGCTTGTTCAAGCAGAAACACCTCTAAATGACTTGGGTTATGTTTAAATATCTCATAACTGGATAAATGGCTTTACGTATAGAAATCATACATAGGGATAGAGCAGGACAACAACATAAGGAAGATATGAGAATCAAGAACCATCACCCAGTTCCAAAGATCTTGTAGCACAAACTGAACACCAAATCAGGTTCAGCTTTCTCCAAGAAGCAAGAATTCAACAGAATTAATCGTCCAATCATAGTCTCAGCCACATCCTTCAATGTGTGATTCTTTGAAGAAAATTGTTCCACAAGCAGATTCAAAGAAACCCAAACAAAACTTTTTCATAACGAATCATGTTAAGACATTAAACCTTTCCCCTACCCCTCCATACTAACATGAAGTTTGCATATTTTAATTTCAAGAAAACGAACCAACTAAAGCACATAAATAGAATCGGGCGAGTACCTCGTGATCAAGCAACAAATTTTCCGGCTTGATATCCCTGTGAATCACATGGTTCTCGTGGCAGTAGGCCAATGCTTGTGCGAGGCTGGCGATGTACTGAAGTTCAGCAGCAGAGGCAATTTCAAATGATGAGGCCATCGCCATAACCCAACTCCGAAACAGCAATGAACAATAAAGAAAACTGCCAAAAAGTAAGAAGGCGTCGTCACCGTGGCGGCGTGCTTCTCGTTGAGATGCCCGTGCTTCCTCAGCACGTTGTACAGCTCGCCCCCGTAAGCATACTCGAGTATCAGGAAGATGCGCTCGCTGTCGTGAAACCAGCCGAAGAGGCGCAGTATGTTCGCGTGCCGGAGGCTAGTCTGGATCTCCATCTCCCTCCTCAGCTGGTGGTGGATCCGGTACTTCTCGATCTGCTCCTTGAATATCACCTTCAGCGCCACTATGTATTGGCTCTAAAAAAGCCGAAACAGATCAAAAAGGAAAAAGAAAAAAAAAATCAGTTCGAAACTGCAGACAGTCCCTAAAATCCAAGTCCCTTCGCTTCAGTAGCTAGACAAAATCAGGCGAAAAAACGTGCGGAGGAGAGGACCGAGCGTGCGATTCGACCGAATCGAGCGGAATTCCCGAATGTCCGGGAGAGCGAGAACATCGATCGGACCGCGACAGGGGTCGCGCGCCGACGAAGCGATGCGAACGAACTAGGATTTCAAACGCGCCGAATTCGAAACCATCATCGTCATCTTCCGCGAATCCAGCTGCGAATCGGAACGACGAGGAGAAAAAGAGAAGCGAATCTTTGCTGCGACGGGGGAGGTTTACCTTGACCTCGCGGGCGAGATAGACGCGGCCGAACTTGCCTTTGCCGAGGGGCTTGCCGATCTCGAAGTCACGCAGCGACCATCCCTTCCTCGAGCTTCCCTCCGCCTTCATCTCCCCGCCTTGGATCCGCGCTGCTGCGAGCTGCTCGGCGGTGGTCTTCTTCAATGGGGGAGAGAGAGAGAGAGAGACGAGAGAGAGAGCGAAGCGAGAAGAGGGAAAGAGCTTGGAATTTGAAATCGCTGGACGTTCGCCACCCAAACGACGCCGTAGGAAAAATTACTTCATTTGACAGTTACATTTATTATTAGTTTTTTTTTATTGCACATTTACTATATATTTTCGGTGTTCCATTTTTATTATTTGCGCGCGCTCATGCATGGTCGCATAAATTCACATGCCTAGAAATGAAATTAAAAAAATGATAACGCATAAAAAATATTTTTCTCAGGCGTCAATTAAATAGCAAACATGACCAAATCCCCAGACCTGATTTTCCACTCTTTGCGCAAATCTTAACCGTCCTCCAAATGTTTGTCGCGACTCCTCAATCACATTGTAAAACATAATCAACAACCGATCGGGTCACCAAGGTTGCGATCGATCCTCGATCGAATGTGCAAATTGCTAACCCATTCGACGCGAAATGAATCCTAAATTTGGATCGTGCCCGGCGTATGGCGCGCTTTGCAGATGCCACGAATGAACCGTCATTCTTCCCCAACAAAATTAGAAGCCCACATCAAAAACTACAGAAGAAAAACCAGAACAATCAAGTGGTTCGGTTAATAGTGTGTGCATCGAGCATCACATCCATGTTTCGATACGAAAGAATCGGAATAATATACACAATGCGACATGGCTCGAACGAAGAGCATGATACAATGATGAGTTCACGGTGTGAACTGTGATTTATATACAACTTAATCTATTGATATACAGTGTACTCATCTCTGCGTACAGTTCAGTCGAGCTCTGCATCTGCATTTGCTTCTGAACAAGCCTCGGCGGGCATTCGTCGAGGAGCTAAGACAAACCGTCTAACTAGAGCCGAACTCCTTGTTCCACTGCTCAAGCTCCTCCCACTTGCTTCTATGTAAGCTCGGTCTAATCACGGTCATCGCCTTCTGAAAATCTTCGTATCTAAGAGGCCTTACCTGGTGAAAACAGAATACCAATCATGTGAAACAAGATTTTCCAAAGGTTACCATGACGATGAGAGATTTTCATGGAGTTGCAGGTGAACTCTGAAACACCAAATTCAATGCTAATTTCGAACTATATCCATAGAAGCCCTTGTGGGTAATGGAGCAGTAAATGGAAAAGCTCCAAAAACCGACCTAAAATTCACAATGTACCATGAACACCAATATTTCCAGGGTTTCGTGTGCCAAGAAAAAGGTGAAAACTAGAATATGAATCAGCGCCCCTTACGAAATATAACCGGTACTATGCTGCATTTTGCTGGAAAATTAATGCTGCAGATTTCTCCTCATTGAAGTCTAAAACCAGACTTCCACAACAAACGATATTAAGAGATGTCATGTGGCTAAGGTGGGTACAAGGATGACAGGATAGAAACAATAGTCGATAACGCTCCTACTATTAGGCAACTCAGCCGATAGTCAGGCAAGGTCTCCTATAATCAGGCAACTGATTTGCCCGAAAGTTAGATGATAAAGATGCAGTCACCTCAGAACACGCATAACTTTGCTGTGTGACCTCCAATTTGCGCAATTCTCACATGTTGGAAAGCTCGTAATCTTTAGTTTTTAAGATCACTTACCAGCTAATTCTTTATGGATCCCGAGTTCCAAGCCCAAATTTGTATAAGGGAGGGCAGTTCACTTTGAGAATGTTTAGTGTGTGATTGGGGGGAGTTTTTGCCCCCATCTTATGGCATTTGGCATAAAAACTAGGAGCTAGAAGGAAGAAGCTAGGTGTCAGCTTCTACCTTATGTCTTTCAAAGGGATGAGCATAGTTTAGTTTGGTTTGTTTTAGAATCCACACTAAAACAAACAAATCAATTGAATTCAAGAAAACCTAAAATAAACTCCAACCAGATAAGGATTTGGAAACGAACCGAACCGAACCTAACCAATAGAACTCTCGGTAACTAATTAGCTATGTCATCTTTGCCTAAGGTAGAATGTCTAATTAATTAATGATTACTTATAAAATGATAAAACCAATCTGAAAAATTACAAAAACAATTCAGTTTAATTTACAGTTTTGAAAAGAGCCCTCATATCCAATCTGAACCAAACAATTTCAGTTCACTTTTGTCCATTTTAACTGTTGAAAACCGTTCTTTGCTCATCCATTCATTTTGTAAACAAAATACTAACTTTAATAATTAAAAAATATTTAAATGACTGAGTGTAGATTTTCGTCTTTTAGAAGATTTGAGGTGTTACAGATTGACATCATACACAAAAAGTCTAATTCAATCATTAAATAGAAGACAAATTACTATTGCAAGTTTCTGCAGCTGAAGTAAAAAAAGATACAGAGACGGTAAAAACCCAGTTAGCCATAGATAAGCTAATTTCTAAGCTCCCAAATATTGAATACAGTCCAGAGATCTTCTTCTGGCAAGAAAAAATTCACTAGGTTTGTTTCCAAAGTAGATCGAACCACGGGACTATTATTTCAAACTGTTATCTTTTCATTAGTAATTATTTTTTCTTCACCCTCACAGAACCAAAATTCACAACCTAACAACTCAGACACGGCCAAAATAATGTTGCATTTAAGCCAAATTTTGTACCAAATCCCATTTCTTTGTTCTTTGTTCCCACAAAAATGGAATAAGTGTAGAAAGTAGCTCGATTATACTACCTGATTTGCCTTGACTTTGAGAATATTTGTCCCAAGCTCCCTTATTGGCATCATAGCAGCTTCTTCACATAGGGCTTGCAGATCACTTCCAGAATACCCTACATTGGTAGTTAACATTAATTTTATGGGGATACAGTAATGAGAATCGCACCAAAGTTTACACCGCGTAGCATCAAGGACTAGCATGAGCAAAGAGCTAGCTTACCTTCCGTATCTCTTGCAAGTCTTTCTAAATCTCCACCTGTGATGGGATATGAAGATAAATCTTTATTCAGCAAAGAAATTAAAGCAGTACATCAACTAGAAAATGCTCTAATGACATAACATACATCATTGAATGCAGAAACCAAAATACTTCTTTTGCGACAGATACAGAGAGAATACATGTAAGTATAAGTGGATGAGCAGGAATATTTTTCTCCCAAAAGGCCCGAAGAGATTTGAAAGCTCAAAAAAAAATTTCCAAAAATATCATTCAAAAAGAATTTCTTCTAAATGTGAATAACCTTGGAAGAGCGGGAGATAGCCAGGAGCTTAAAATAGAAAGAGACAGAGAAGTTTGAAACAAGCAAGTTGAAAAGTCAGGCACTAATTATGGCTCCGTACCATCATAGAAATCAGGTGACCTTGTTCACATTTTTTAGCTTTTCTGACCTAATTGTAACTAATTGGTACAGAAATCGAGTATTACTGAGCCAAGGTAAATCCTTTTTTCTTCTGAGTGTCCTACCTATTCTTTACAGTTCCACCATTCGCCAGAATAAGCAAGAGCCCCTCCTTCCTTTTTATATCTCCCAATTTTTAAGGCAAGTCCGACTAAATTTCCATCACCCAGATAAAACCAATAAAAAATATTCATGCACAACAGCTCAAGCCAAGTAATTAGAGAATCGCACCATCAAGAGCCTCCTCCCAACAGTCACACTGGCCACAGTATAGAACCTCTCACCCAAAGCTATTTGTGCCATTGAGAAATGGACTACTCCTCTGAATCTATTAGCTATTTGGTTTCTGTCTATCAGTTGACCTCCTGTACTTTGGGTAGAATGTAAGATCATCCCCTGTATCTATCAGCTATTTGGTTTCTGTCTATCAGTTGACCTCCTGTACTATGAAGAGGATTCTTTTACCCCAAGTAAATCACTAGGTCAAATTACAAATGACTCAAAGTGCATAAGGTGTCTAGACACTTTCCCCAACAAATTAACAAACACAAATAGTGTAGTTATTTAAAATGGGCTTGCAAAGATCGGAGTAAGACACATTCTTACTAGGTAATGAGAATGATCGGCCCTTGAGTTTGTTTCTTAGAAGAAGTCTCCTGACATTTTCATCTGGTAGTGGTATGTAGATTCTCTTCACCTGTTTATTTTCAAATTTCAGAGTAAAATCAGTCCAGTAACTCAACCAAGAGCAGTAAAAGTTGATTATCATGTCAAGATTCTTCCTATTTCATATCCCAAAAGCATAGAATAACAATTAAAATTGCACTCCACTATGCATTCGCTATGACAATGAATCACCAAAACTGAGTATTAGGACAACAAGATACCTAGCAAGATATTAAAAATAAGAAATGAGCACTAGAAAAAAATAAGGCTGTTCCTCAACTATAATCAGTGCATTAACCAAAAAGACAAAAATGCCGCTTAATAAAGAAGCACAGATGCAGACTTCCATGTCAATAATGACTACAACAAACGAAGACGACTGTGCAACCAGTCATATCACATCCAAACACTGGAGTGTGTGTGTATATACACATACACATCATTGAAACAATAATGTGAGAGGTCTACTAGGTCAATTGCGTAACGAGTCGGAAAGTAAGCAATTACCCTCAGAAGCACAAAATACTATTAGTAATCAACATAAGAGTCATCGCAGACTAGAGTCAATTTTGCCACTATTTCCTGCTCTTGCGAGTTAAAATTACTCACCAGTCTCCTCAGAACAGCATCATCCAATTCTTGTGGCTTATTTGTAGCACCTGCGATTGACACAAGTCGTGCTAGTAAAGTGAAAAGAACCGAGCCACAAGATCCAATCATAAATCTTAAATGCAGCAGTTCAGTTGCCATCAACTTTAAGGAGTCAGTTAAGGACCCAGATATCAGACAGCAAATTCCAAATGTACATAATAATGTCCTCTCAAATTGGTGCATCACATATTTATAAAATCTAAAGGCAATATAGATTTCTGCACATGGAAGCTCTTAAGCTTATTCAAATATCAACATACAAGCGGGAACCATGTCCTCAATTGATCCAAGAGATGAAGAAGCCTTTAGCTCGGAAATTTTCTGGAACCAATCATAGCATTTCGATAGGTAAAGTCCAACC